GTAGGTTCGTGGTTCCCGGAAACTGGGGAGAGGGGAGAATGGGGAGTGACTGCTAATTAGTATGGTGTTGCTTTTTAGGTGAGGGAAATATTGTGGAATTAGATAGTAACGAGGGTTGCACAACCCTGACTATACTAAAAACCAGTGAATTATAACCTCTAAAAAAGGGGCGAATTGTATGGTCAGTGAATTATATCTCAGTTTCAAAATGGCTTTATTGGAAGATTTTATTGTCAGGATAATTTAAGTAAATAAAATATATAGATATTGGGGGAACTTAGTCACATGGCTACTCCTACTTTCAATGGTGGGGGTGTGTTTCTAGAAAATGTAGCTCAGCTGGAAAACTCCATCACCCTGGAGGAGGGGAGATGGGATTTGGAAGACAGCTAGCAACCGCCAGCGGCCAAGCTGGAATTGGGACGTAGGTCTTGGTTTCTTCGTCCAGTTTCTTTTCACCATGCTCTCTGTCCCTCTAGGAGACTGATTTCGTAAGTGCAGTTGAGCACGCTGCTGAGAATAGGCATATTTTTAAAACTAAAATAATATTTGTCTACTAACAGTGATGCCGAGTAACCTAGGAAATAACTAAGCAGTTATCCGTCTTATGTGGAAAGACTGCCCTCTTTAGGAAAGGACGCGTGGGTGTGTAAATATAGGGACAGTTTTTAAAGGGCAGGGGACAGTTCTGGAGATTTTCCAGGGAACTGGGATTGCACAACCCCTCTTTAAAACGTGTAGGGGGCGATAGCCTTCTGCACTTTTATGAACAAAGGCGTCATTCGTTGGCCTTGACTGGCACCCCCTGGCTGGGATGGACTCAGATCCACGTGCCGCAGGTGGCGCCGTCTGTATGCGGCGTGCACCGTGCTGTGCTGGAGGCCGCGGCGCTCAAGTCTCGGTCGTCCTCCTCCCTGCCCGTTTCAGGTAGGACAGGCTACCCGATAGAGCTAACCTAGTGCTCTTTTCCTTTCTTTGCTAGTGAGGGCTAGGAGTCCTTTTGCTTTTTAAACATTTTTTAAAGTTCGAAAATGTTAAGGGATTAATAATTTTTACCTATTAAACCAGAAAAGATAAGTTACAGTGAAGAGATTACTGTTAGAATGGAAATACAGAAATAAATACTTATATCTTCCAGGTTCTGAAAATTGGTATGGTTTAGAGACTGAAATCTGGAATGTTTATGGGGGCCAGGCAAGTAATTTAAATAGACAAGAGGATGATTAATTGGGATTCTGGCAAAATGAAGCCTACTGGCCCTGACTTAAGACAATCAGCGACAACCACATCAACAAGAAGCAAAAAGCATCCACTGTGTGGGCCAGTTCCATCCAGTGTGGGGCCAAGTTCAGCCTGGGGGCTACCAGTTTCCAGCAGCTCTGCTTGCTTGACTAGAACGTAATGTGGAAATATGCAACAGGGACTTTGAGCTTTGTCACATACTATTACCAGACAAATAAACAAAAAAAAAACACAGAGGGAAAAATTACTATGAACAGAAAATGTGCTTAGCTCTTGTATTTAAAGAAAAAACCTGGAAGATAATAAATAATAAATGCATATGAATTACAATGTATGTTAACAAAGATTGCAAAAGAATTTAGAGCTATGTAGATAATTTGGTGCTCATCAGATTGTTTTTTCCCTGAAAAGTAGATGAAATTTACCATAAAGAGAAAGAAAATACAGGTTCCTCTACCGAGGCCATCAGTAAAACGTGTAGTTGCCTCTCGGATTAGATCCAACTAAGCACAGGCACGACTTACTGACAGGTTATGAGTTTGTCCTGGAAGTTTTCGTTTTTGCCTGAGGAGATGACTTAGTGACGACTCTGGTATACACTGGTATTTCGTTCCCACACCAGAATTCCAGGTTCTGCTTTTCTCCTACTCACCCTGCTTTATCAATCTGGATCCAGGGAAGGTGCCTCCAGCCCCAAACTGCTTGAATGACCCCTCCTTCCATTCTACTCATGAGTCGGAGCTGAACCGAGTTCCTGAGGGGTCATGTCAGAAAGTTGCAGGTTCTCTGGCCTCTTTCGTATATCAGGAACGGCCCAACTTTGGGGCTATTTCGTGCCCTGGGAGTTTTGGCACTGCGGGCTGGCAGCCAGAGCGGTGTCATGGTGGTTGCCGTTCGCTGCCTGTCCCCGGCCTGTCAGGGCTGGGCCGGTGGCCCTGCCGTGTGTGGTGACCAGAGTCCTTACTCCCCTCTTCTTCCTCATCGGCGCAGCGGGACTCCCTCCACCTCTTCTCCAGCGAGCCCATCACACACAGTCCCTACAGCAGTGGCTGACCATGCAGGAAGGAATTTCCAGTTCCTCGCAGCGTTGGGGGTGTGTGCTGCGTTGGCACGGGCCGTTCCTGGCTTGATTTGTGCCCAGAGACCACCTTTGGCTCGGTTGATGGGGGCCTGATTGGGAGGCTCAGGGTGATTTACATGAGTTCAGATATTATGACATCTTTAAAACAAATAAGCAGGTAACTTCCCAGGCTGATGTGAGGTGATACTCTCTAGGGGGCATGGGTTGAAAATCAGTACAGACCCCCGATCTGTCTCTACTGAGATTTCGCTTCTTGGCTGCCTCATCTTCACTGAACTTTCTAGAAGTTGCTCTACGACATTTACTTGGTACAAGTCAACAAAATGTGAGTTCTTACTCAAGGAGTTGAGTTACTCTGTGCCTCCCTATCTGGGCCTAGAAGTAGATACGTCTCTTTCTTCCCTGGGTTGGTTCAAACAAGACTGGTACTTCTACAGGGAGCTTGGTCGGAGATCCCGAGTCTGGTTGGGATGAGCTGACTGCCGTAGAGAAGAGTTCTTCGGTCTGTTTTCCTGTTTCATTCCTTCCGACTTAGTTTTCAGACAGACACGTTGAGGCTGTAGCCTGTGGCCGTTTGAGCGGCAGCGCTGCCTCTGGTTTTGAGACTCTCGCTCTCTGCGGAGCAGCTTTCCAGCTGTCGTTGCCGCGGTCCTAGTGGTCGGGTTCCTGAACCAGAGGGCGGTTCTTCATCTGCTCAGAGCTAGCGTCGTCTGCTGCCTGGCAGATTTTAATAGCTCCCGAATGGTCTCCCTAAATCCACTGTAGCCCCTTCAATCCACTCCCCACTCAGCAGTCCCAGTCACCTTTTGAAAATGCAAAGCTGGTCACATCATCCTGAAGCTGAAAAGCTTTTTGTGACTTCCGGTTGCCTTTAGGATGCACACGGACACCTTTGACGTGCCTGACGTGGCCTTCCAAGGTGCCAGCCCTGAGTTTGTCACCAGCTTCTCTTGCATCGCTCCTGGCCCCCTGGGCCTTCCTTCAGTGCTGAGCCCGCCCAGCAGTCTCCTCTCACCGCGCCTCCTCGTCCTTTCTGGCTGGAAGGTTCTGCCCTCTCTGATTTCCCCTTTCCTCTTCCTTCAGGCCAATCCTCACTCCTCACCTAGGCCCACTCCCTGCTCCATGAGCTCGTAGCACTGCACTCCTCTCCTTAGCACTGTTACTGCTTGAAGTTGACGCTTATCTGTGCGGTTCTTTGATGACAGCGTTTCTGCACGAGCTCCGGGAGGCAGGGTGGTGTGGTTTTTTGCGGAGAGGGGCACCCGCCATGGCCAGCATGTAACACATACTGCAGGGACTTCTTAAATATTTACTGAATGATGACGATCTCTCCTTGCTTCCCTTCTCGAATTTTATGGCTGTGACTCATGTATGTTGTAACCTCATCTGTGACTTCCTCGTTGCTCAGCCACTTTATCTAAAGGTTCTACCTTTACCTCAGCTTTTCCACTTTTACAGGAGGCACCTGGGCCTGGTCTTTTAGCGGCCGTATATACACCCTTCTTTTTCTTCCTCCGTGACAACCCCAGCCCTACTCCAAGGCCAGCCTGTTCTCCAGCTGAAATCCTTGCATGTCTGGCCATCTCGTCAGGGCCTCCTCAGCGACCCATGCATGAGACCCTCCTAAGTACAGCTCCAAGCGAGGAGCACGTGATACGCACAGTGTCGGAACAGCAGCAGCAAAAGGGACTGATTTTTCAATGATGATGACACTTGCATGAAGTTCTTTAGTGCCTGTTTAATAAGAACTGAATTTTCCTGTCTCATTCTTACAATTTACCATCTGTTCTGCTATAATGAAGGATTTGCATTTATGAGAAATGTTACATTATCAAAAATCATGATATAAAAACAATTGTGATTAGAAAAAAAGGGTTAAAGATTGGATAATATCAGATTCATAATAATAATGTTATTTTTCCTACAGAATTTTTTCTGATAAAAGTTTTGTTTTTTGTTTTTTTTTTTTGAGACAGAGTCTCACTGTGTTGCCCGGGCTAGAGTGCCGTGGCGTCAGCCTAGCTCACAGCAACCTCAAACTCCTGGGCTCAAGCAATCCTCCTGCCTCAGCCTCCTGAGTAGCTGGGACTACAGGCATGTGCCACCATGCCCGGCTAATTTTTTTTTGTATATATTTTTAGTTGTCCAATTAATTTCTTTCTAATTTTAATAGAGACGGGGTCTTGCTCTTGCTCAGGCTGGTTTCGAACTCCTGAGCTCAAACAATCCGCCCGCCTCGGCCTCCCAGAGAGCTAGGATTACAGGCGTGAGCCACCACGCCCGGCCAAAAGTTTTTTAAATAGCTATGAATGTATTAGCAAAATCCATCATTGAAGAAACTTAATGTTTGACTACATAGAGCTTTGCTCTGGAATAATAATCTTTGGTTTTCTTCATTGCCGAGGCTACCTTTTACATGGTCATATTTCCTTTGTCACTCATTGTTACAATAAATCAAACGCCAAGCCTCCCGGACAAACCTGCCGCTACAGACAGCAGTTTCCGTCGTGCTAAGGGGCCAGTTACAAATCTAGCATGATCATGGTATTCCTGATGCTAATCACATTCCTTAATTTATCAGATTTGTGTTTTAAAAAACTCACACCTATAATTGTCTCAGATCTAGGCTGCCTACATCAAACAACAACCCCTGTGTGTGAATGTTTCCCCGACTCAGGTGATGCAGGCCCAGTGTGTCAAAACGGAGACGGAATTCTACCTCCGCAGTCGCAGCGAGATAGTGAAGGAGCAGGGGCACACCATGGGGGCTCTTTACTGGCAGTTGAATGACATCTGGCAGGCTCCTTCCTGGGCCTCTCTGGGTAAGTGTCTCAGCACCCTTTCTGTGGGTGAGAGGAAGCAAAACCTGTGGGGAGAGGGACTGAGTGAGCGCAGAGCCTGAGGGGTCAGGAGCCCACCTACGGCTGCGGCCACCCCACTCACCTGGCTGGTCTTTCCGTGCGCCCAAGGGGCAGCCTCATCAGGAGTTGAGTGCTGTGCGGAGTCACACAACAGGCTAAGAAGGGGATAGATTCATACACAAAGGTATCAGTCATGGGTCTTGCGATTACTGCATAGAATTTTGAATTTATTTAAGAGGACTTTCCATGGCCCAAGGATTATGGAGTTAGCATCCCTTCTTTTGAGTAGGAGAATTCAGCCAAGCAGAAGGCTAACCCGGTTACGTGTGCACGTGCCCCTCTCTCTGACCCCCCTTTAAGTCCATGAGGTCATCTCTGTGATGCCCTATTTAGCTACGGGGGAAGGTAGGAGAGTCAGCAACCCAAACAGGAAGGGTTACCAGCTGGACCAGGTCAACCAGCCGCAGGCGAGATGACTGGCGTGGAACTTGCATTTGAATTATCCCATCTATTCTGGCACGTTAAAAAATATTTCAGGAAAAAAATGAGTTTTTGGCCTTCACTACAGCTTATTCGAAGCAAAGTTCAGTTAATAATATAATATAAGCAACAGTTTTGAGTCAAAAATGAGGCAAGGCCATAAAGTAAAAGGCTGTTTTGCTGGGTGAGGCTTTTAAACCGGCTATGAATGCAAGCCCAGAGGTGTGCGTTCCAGACGAGCCTTCATCGGTGCCGAATGCATGACTCTTACAGGCCGTTGGATTGTGCTGAGGTTTCTCTGACCAAACTCTCGGTCAGCACCAAGCAGATAACAGAGCACTGAGGAAGAATCAGGCTGGGCCGTGGGGAAAAGCCGCCTGGGGTGCTGGAGAGACACTGTTCAGAGACACATGGACACTGACCCTGCTTTCTGTCTGTGGGTGAAGTTGTGGATTTTTGCAGCTGAGTTTGATTCCAGAAACTGGAGGGGCCCAATTTTTGTCAGTCTTCCTTTACATGATTGCATGTATTTAATAGATTATTCCAATGAGTTTTGCAGGAGGGTAGGTCTGTGGAAAAACCACTCAAACTCAAAAGTGCTTTTTCTATCCTCTTACTCCATGACAATAATCGACACAGAAGGTTTCTGTGGCCAAGTGTGTGGGTTTCTCGCCACTGCCAGGCGAGCAGCTCTGCGGTGGACACCAGCTGGGTGTCCTCTGATTCAGGTCTACTCTGTCCCCCGGGAGACGGGGTCAGATCCTGCAGGCCGAGGGCTCCATCCCCCAGGACAGCGCCCCTCTCCTGACAGCAGTTCAAGTGGGGGGCTCTGGAACTTCTGCCTGACCACTTCGAGTTGGGGTTCCCGCCAGCCCCTCTCTGGGTTCCACTGGTTTGCTAGAGCGGCTCACAGGACTCAGAGAAACACTCAGGTTTACCAGCTTATTACACAGGTATTTTAGAGATACACGTGAAAAGCCAGATGAAGACAGACAGAGGGTGAGGACTGGGAGGGTCCCGAGCACGGTGGAGTTGGGGTGCCACCCTCCTGGCATGCGGGTGACTTCTTGCTCCCCTCCTGTCAGCCTGCCGTGCGAAGCCATCCAGAAGCTCTCCGAGCCCTGTCTCTTGGGCCTTTTGTGGAGACGTCGTTGGACAGGCAGGAGGGGCCGCGCGCAGAAACGGGACTGCACAGAGAGGGCCTGCAGTGATGCGCGCAGCCGCAGCGGAGGAGCTTAGCGAGTCCCGCCCGCTCCCTTTCTCCTGGCCTCTCCGAGCGGCATTGGCTCCTCCAGCGTGTCGGGCAGGACCTCTTCTGAAATGGGACTCCGGTGACCGTAATCGGGACGGCAGGACAGATTAGAATCCTGCCTTGGGCAGGTGAAAGGAGGGCAGGGGACGCTCCGAGAGACGGGTTCTGTTTTCGGAGGCTGCTCAAGTGCCCCGACGTTTTGACAAAGGACTGTAACAAGGGCAGTGGAGTCATGAGCCAGGAACCCTGGGCAAACACCGGTGCCTATCATCATATCCCTGCAGGTAAACCCGAGTGTCAGGGCATGACGGCAGATCAGCAGTTTGGCCATTTTCTCAACTCGGGCAGGACCGTGGCGTGGGGAGGGTTACCAGCTCCTCGCGCTTACTAGAGAACAGGAACCAGCGAGAAGCGGCGACAGGTTCGGCTGTACCTGCTCCTGCCCCGGGCAGCCTCAGAGTCCCTGTTTAACTCTGTTTAGTTGGCTGCAGAGATCCACTGCTCACGGCGTGTGCAGCTGAGGGAGGTGCGTGCCGTCTCTCACCACCTGACGCGGTGGTAGCAGGGAGGTCAACAGCCGCTTAGAATCTGCAAGTTCTTACGTACACTCACGCACCACACAAATTCCAGCCAATGCCGGACTGCGTATGTGACAGCAGTCTCCTAAAATTATGATGCCGCTATTTTTACTGCACATCGTCTGTGTTCAAATATGTTCAGATGCATAAGTACTCACCACTGTGTTAGGGTGCCTGCAGTATCCAGCAGGCAACGTGCTGCACAGGCTTGTAGCCCAGCGGCAGTCGGCTACGCCCAGGTGTGTAGCAGGCTGCACCGCCTCGGTGTGCGTAAGTGTGCCCTGTGATGTTTGCACAGTGACAGAATTGCCTGACAACGCGTGTTTCAGAATGTATCCCTGTTGTTAAGCGACATATGACAGTACTTTATTTTTAAAAATTAGTCTAAGTTTATGGTTATAATTTTGCAAATATAAAAATCCACCTGGGAATGTTGCTTGGTTCATAAACTTGGACAGTTACAGGGCTAATGGTAAAGCCAGAAGTCACATAATATTTTTAGCCTGTTATGAAGAGTATTATGTTGCTATCCAAACTTTGTTACTGATTACTAACTTAGGTTGGTGTCCTAGTCTGTTTTACGTTGCTGTCACAGAGCAACCCAGACTGGTTCATTTATAACGAACAGAAATGTGTGTGGCGAATGTTCTGGAATCTGGGAAGTGCAAGAGCATGGTGCCGGCTCTGGCGAGGGCACCCCCACTACATCCTCCCACGGTAGGAGGCAGAAGGGCAAGAGAGCTCGAGGGAGTCCCAGAGTAAGACAGGGCAGAACTTGCTTTTCTAACAACCCGTTCTCCTCATGATGAGCCTGCTCTTGCAAAGAGGACGTTAGTCCGTTCACAGGAGGGCAGCGCCCTCGTGGCCTAGGAGCCTCTGAGTGGGTCCCCAGCTCTCGACACCGTCACAATGGCTGTTACGTGTCGACGTGAGTTTCGGAGGAGACATTCGAACCATAGCAGTATGTATCAGTGAGACCTTTCGTTTCCATTCCCGTTCGCTTGCGTGTGTCTTGTTTATGGCCTTGGCCTCTGGAACCACACGTTGAAAGTCTTGACCCACAACGGGACAGTGCACCTGCGGGCGTGTGCGTTACCTCAGGTCCACGCCATCTTCCATGTGTGAGAAAATTTGCCAAATGTCAGTTCTCGTTCACCGTGTAGGTCCAACGGGAAAGGCCTGCGCGCCACACCACAGCCCCGTGGTTGCTGTTTGAGGAAGTGCTAAGCGTTGGATTGAAGTGCTGAGAGTTGGTATTTTGCAAAACTCTAAAGAAATTAGTTTTATCTGAACTTCAAAAGTACATTCCTCTGTCTCAGCAGCTTGCATGGTGCATTCTGGCACCTCTCTCCCTTTTTCTCTCTCTGCTTCTCCACCTCTCCGGGAAGTTATTTGGTGGTGCTGTGCTTTGTGCGGAAGGATCATTGAAATAGAGGAATGTTGAGAAAAGGCGATGTTGAAAGATTTTTAAGTTAATGGGTTTAGCACACTAGATGTGTCAGTAAGACACAGAATTTTACAGATTCTTGACAACTTCTAATTGCATTTGTGGAACTGTCATTAATTGTCATTGGTTCCCTGGTTTTCCTCCAGTCTGACCTTGCCAGCCACATTTGCACAGTGGTGGTTTTGATGCGCTCAGAGGGTTTTATGCCTGTGGGAAAAGGAAGCTTTGAGTTCTAAGTCGGCTTGTGGGTGGGTGTCTGTAACAGGTGTTCACCGCGGACGCTGCTGCTGCTCATGTCCTTCGTGTGCGTGCAGCACAAAGGAACACTGGTGTACCGAGCTCCCGAAAGCAGAACTGCATTTGAGACAGGCTAGTGGGAGTCAGATCTGGACTCAAAATACCACCTCCAGCGCGCTTCAACCGACTGCCTCCGTTTCCTCCCGTGTAAAGTGGGTTGCTAATTGCCTGCCCCACCCTTGTGGGGTGGACACAGTATCCAGAACGCTCAGAGCCCTTAACAAACGTGGCTGCGTTCCATCGTTGACCGTCCTTTGTGGGCTCACTCCCTGGAACCAGGACAGCCGCACGCGGATGCCGCTGCGCCACGCGGACTCTGACCGCTTGACCCCGGCCGTCTCCTAACGCTCTCGATTATTTTCAGAGTACGGAGGGAAGTGGAAGATGCTGCACTACTTTGCTCGCCGTTTCTTTGCCCCCCTGCTGCCAGTGGGCTTTGAGGACCAAAGTGTGTTCTACGTCTACGGTGTATCGGACCTTCACGCCAACCACACGGTGACGCTCACGGTGAGTTGCTCGGATTTCTTTCTCTCTGCAATAGAGGGAGACTTTTAGATTATTTCTTCAGTTGTTTGGTTATATTCCATTTGGGAAAAATAAAAGAAAAATTAATTTGCAGCCAGAATCCATATATTCAGGTTAGAACTCTTGCTGTTTACTATGTGGCCTTAAGCAAAACTCTTAACATCTTGACAATTCAATTTCTTCCTCTGTAAAATGATACCAGTCTACCTTTTTAAAGGATTTCTATGCGTAGTAAATAAAATAGATGCAAACAAATTATATAAACTGTAAGGTGCCACTTAAAAGTAAGGTTATTTATAATTATGAGAGGCTGGAAGTGGTCCAAAGTTTGCAAAAAGAAATGACAAAAAATGGTATGTTAAAGTCAAAGTCAGTAAAACTATTCAGGATGGGGATGTGGAAAACTAAGCTTGTATCTGAAACGAATTTAAGTAAAAAGAAAGGGCAGAAACTCAAAGACTTTGGTGGCTCCAGTTTGGAGGACACCAATAACACTGAAAATAGGTCACATTTGTAGAATAATTACAATGTACAAGGTGCTGCACCTGCCATGGATTATTTTTTTAAATTCTCACGACAGCCCACGAAACAAATGCTGTCGCTGTTCTGGTTCTCAGCGTGGAGGGATGGAGGCTGGGAAGGGGAGCAGTGCAGTCACAGACCTAGTACTTGGGGGGCCGGGATTAAAACTCGGGTTTCGTAGTCTCTTTGCCACTTCTGCTATTCTGGCTTTCAGCTGTTATCGCTATTGTTCCCTAAAAAGACAGTCACCGAGAATGTCTGTTTGCATTCGGTTTTCTCTCTCCCCAGGTGAGAGTCCACACGTGGGGCTCCCTGCAGCCTCTGTGCTCTCGCGTGACCACACACCTTGTGATCGGGGCCGGGCAGGCTGCTCTCCTCTACAAGGAGCCAGTGTCTACGCTGCTGAGATGTGGGAATTGTACACGAGAAAGTTGCCTGCTTTCCTTTTACCTGTCAATGGACCTTAAACTCTTGAGCCCAATCAACTATCACTTCCTGTCCTCACCGAAGGAGGCCGTGGGGCTCCGCAAGGCAAATATCACTGTAAGCGCGGGTGGGGGGTGCGCCGCGGCTTCCTGGGGCCCTCCTGCTCCTGGCCCAGCTCCCTGCCCCCTGCTGTGCGCACCTTTTTTTTTTTTTTTTTTCCCCCCTTTGGTACTGAGTTTCCCGAGGCCTGGGGAAGACTGGCTGCTTTCCCCCTAAAGGCAAAGACCCAGTGATTTTTATTCCTAACCTAGGACTTGTGAGGGTTTCCAGTTACTGCCACTTGTCTGTCCCATCGCCCTTCGCTGGTGGGCTGGCACCGTGGCGGGAGGGGAGGCACGAGTCACCACCGCTGACTGCGCCTCGCCTGGGTGCCAGGTTCTGTTCTAGGTGCTTTACTGAGCACTGTCCGATTTCCGCAGCAGCCCTGAAGCTTGTGACCCGCGTCTCACACGTGAGAAAGCCGGGGTGGGGGAGTAAGCTCCGAGCACGGGCTCCTACGGCTGGGAGCACTGGAGGCGGCGGAAGCACTCTGATTTTGATTTCGGTGGAGTCTATTAATATTCAGTCTGCTTTCTTTGATTTATTGCTTCAATCACCAAATCTCCTTACGATTGCTAGGAAAAAAAGCTGGGACGACCAGGACATGTTATAAAAATTGTGTAGCCAGAGAATTTGAAATTTGTCTAGTTGATTGAAAACCTTTCCTTCCTTTTCTCTTACACACAGTAATGGGAAATATTTTTTTATGAAGTTTCATTCCCTGTTTTTAGCAAGTTTAAAATTTGTTTTAAACTTTTACTGCATTTAAAAGGATTCTCTGCATTTGCTTTTGACATAATCATATAAACACACCTAATCCTTGCATTTTATTAGAAAGAAGCCTAGCAACTGAAACCTTATCTTTTTTCCAAATTAATAGCCAAATAGCCATATAAGAAAAATCTGTTATCTGTAACAACTGATATAGAACAGATTTGAAGGAAATGACATACACTGACATGTATTTTTTTTTCCAGAAAAAGGTACTGGAAAAAAATGTGTGGTGTCTAAACTTATGATTTTGAAAACAAATTTTTTTTTTTTTTTTTTGAGATAGGGTCTTGCTATGTCACCCACGCTGGAGTGAGTGCCGTGGCGTCAGCCTAGCTCACAGCAACCTCAAACTCCTGGGCTCAAGTGATCCTCCTGCCTCAGCCTCCCAAGTAGCTGGGACAATATGTATGTGCCACCATGCCCACCTAATTTTTCTATTTTTTGTAGAGACAGGGTCTCGCTGTTGCTCAGACTGGTCTCAAACTCTTGAACTCAAGCAATCCTCCCACCTCGGTCTCCCAGAATACTAGGATCACAGGTGTGAGCTACTACACCCGTCTGAAAACAATTCTTTTCCCCTTAAATTGACCCTTCATTACCTTGAGGTAATTGGAGGTGGGAGAGAAGTATGGCTTCTTTCTTTGTTTTACCTCATTTGGGATTCAATGAGATTTGTTATTCTTAATGAGGTATAATAATGATAATAATAGTAATAATAATGTCAGTTAACATTTATTTTGGGCTTAATAGGTGCTAGGTACTTGGCTATACTATCCCAAAAGAGATGCCAGAAACTCGTTCTGCCTGTCTCCCTGAAGCCAGGGAGACACACTGAAACCCTAGGCTCTGCAGTTACACGTACAGTTACAGATTTCCAGTCCAAAGAGCCCCTTCCAGCCCTGGCCCTGGAGCGGCAGTAGCCGAGGCTGCTGGGGGACCACACGGGCCTCACGCCTGCAGCTGCTTTGCCGTCTTCACTGGAACAGCCGGGTGGCTCAAGCTTGAGCCTCTGACCCTCAACAGCTACTGAATACATTTTGTTCAGTTTCTTTTCTCCTTCTGTCAATATAGGTTTTCTTGTTTATAACTCAGAATCCTGAATGGTAAACGTGCAAGTGTGTAAGGCTAAATTATATATAGTAAAAACTGCCCTTTGGAATTCTTTATGTCACACATAACGTATAACGTGAGCCCTACAGGGTGGCGTGTCTGCGTCGGGAGCGACGCTGGTGACACGTGCAGGCCGTGGGGAGCCGGGCGCTCAGCCCCAGGCGTGCACGGCCGCCGCCCACTCTGCGAACCAGCTGTTGTGAGTGGAATGGAGACTCCCTGCTTTCCACTGCACGCTCTCTTTCTGCCGATACTGTGCGGAATTCACACGCGCTAAAAATGCTAATAATGTGACTTTACTGTCCTATGTAATAAAAGAGAGACGCTCTCACAGGAGAGCTTTTGCAAACGCCTGGCAGGCTGCTTTCTAGATGGCCGGATCTTTTCAGGAGACGCGAATGTAAGTTCCACGGTTGTGCTTTGCAGCTACGTCCAGACAGATCCCTAGAAAGTCATTGAAACCACCCAGCCCTTTGCAAAAACGTTCCTCTCTTGATGGTACTCTGAGAAAAACTGTAAAGGATAAAAAGCTTTGAGCTTCTTGTGACATGTTCTCCCTAATAATTGGAGACTACCTGTGTCCTTGGCTTGAGATTACAATTCGGTCCTTTTCCACAGCGTGTAATCATTTTCCACGCGTTGCCTGGAACCGCGCGTGGAGTATCTGCCGTGGGCAGCTGCAGAGTCAGAGCGCAGGACGCGCCCCTCAGCGCCCGCACCGACACGGCGGCTCTGCCCTCAGCCTCGCTGCTTTTTCTTTCAGGCCCTCATCTCTCAGCAAGGTGACGCGTTTGTGTTCGATCTGGAAACCTCAGCCGTCGCTCCCTTTGTTTGGCTGGATGTAGGCAGCGTCCCAGGGAGATTCAGTGACAACGGCTTCCTCATGACCGAGAAGACACGCCGCGTACTGTTTTACCCTTGGGCGGCCACCAGCAAGGGCGAGCTGGAGCAGTCTTTTCACGCGACCTCCCTGGCGGATATTTACTGAGGGACTCCAGTGTCGTCCGCGGCGCTGGGAACAAAGCATCTCTGCAGCCCTGGCCGGCGAGGAAGACAGCCAGGGCCACGCTGAAGACGCTCACCCGCTCCTGCCGCGCGTCCGGGCCGTCGCGCCTCGAAGAGCTGGCACCGCGAGCACCTCCAGGGACGGCTCTTCCTGCCGGTCCCGCCTCAGCAGGCCTGTGCCTGCGCGTTCCCGAATCCGTGCCAGGCCCGTGTTTTCGGCCCGTCACCTCCCAGCGTCAGCAGCCCACGAACCGACTGTAACCAGAGGGCCCCTCGGGGAGTCACGGGAATGTGACCATGGCAGGATCTCTGGAACCAAATGGAAGGTTCTCAAGGTGATGTCGGCCTTCCACAGTGAGCTCTGAGAAATGCCAATGCGAAAATGAAGTGCTTTGCTGTTATTTCCGGAGGGAAAGGAGGCTCAGATTTCATGATAGCGCTTTCTCGGTGGTGGCCGTGCTGGCAGTTTGGGGGGGTTCATTGTTGCCATTTGATTCCTTTTTTGAGTACGATTCTTTTCTCATTTGTGGGTTTTGTTATGAAATATCTTTTAAACAATAACAACTTTTTTAAAAGGCTGTTTGCGTGATCCTTCTTTGAAAACTAAGCTCACGTTGAAATGGACGTCAGCGTGGTCATTTTGAAAATTTTGGGGGTGTCGTCACCTGTGATGGTGTGTGGGCACCAGACCTGGTGAATCTGGTGAGCTTTCTAATTTGAGGCCTATGAACCGGATTTGAACCTGTTGGTCCTGACAGCCAGGCCGCACTCCCTTTAGCTTGAGTTGAAGCCATTTTATTTATATTATTTAATTAAAACTTGCTATGAAATGGAGATAAGAATCTCTCACCTTCAAAGGTAGTTGTGAGGACTAAACAAATAGGGCATGGAACACAATAAATGCTAAGTCCATGGTGGTTGTACTTTTTAACCATAATCATTATCACCGATTTAGTTCCTGAAGCAATAGTAAAAATGAAGTAAGTATAGGCAAATGATAAATTCTTAAGGGCAAATTCTTTTTTTTTTTTTTTTTTTTTTTGAGACAGAGTCTCACTGTGTTGCCCAGGCTAGAGTGAATGCCGTGGCGTCAGCCTAGCTCACAGCAACCTCAAACTCCTGGGCTCAAGCGATCCTCCTGCCTCAGCCTCCTGAGTAGCTGGGACTACAGGCATGTGCCACCATGCCCGGCTAATTTTTTCTATGTATTTTTAGTTGTCCAATTAATTTCTTTCTATTTTTAGTAGAGACGGGGTCTCACTCTTGCTCAGGCTGGTTTCGAACTCCTGAGCTCAAACAATCCGCCTGCCTCGGCCTCCCAGAGTGCTAGGATTACAGGCGTGAGCCACCGCGCCCGGCCTAGGGCAAATTCTTATGCGCAAATGCTTTCTGAAAAAGATACCAGAAAAGAATAATTTGTAAAGGAAGAATAAATTAATGAATGAACATAAATATATGCTGACAATAAGTTATAAAAGGAGAGGAATGTGCTGTATACTTACGTCAATATTTCTGTGAGAGAACAGTAGTAGTCAAAACGTTCTCCCACAGTTCATGTGTGGCGGTGAGGTTAGTCATTTCTACCACTTTAATAGATTTATTTTGCCACATTTACTGGCCCTGAGTCTGATACACTTACTCTCAGCTTGGGGTTTCTGAGGTTTTTCTGTTCGTGGTCGTGCAAAACAATAGAACAAAAGGGCCAGGATGGGGTGCTCTTGCAAAGCCCATTCCAGAGAGAGGAAGAGGTCAGTTCCCACGGTAGTCTCCGCCCATTTCAAAACAGAACAATAAAAATGGTCATTTTCTCGTTAACGTTCACTAAAACTCTTTTGATTTTTTTCTCTTACTTGACTTTTCATTGTGAGACATTTTCAAACTGGAAGTCACTTGGAAAGTAAATAAATTCTGTTCTCTGTTGGAATGAAGGTGAACTAGAGTGCAGGAGAAATAAAGATATGTTTCCCAAACATTCCCAAAGTGACAAAGACCTGAAGACGGAAAGAATATTCTCTTGGGCTACCTCTGGCTCTCAGATAGGAAACTTATTCCCTATCTTGTAAGGAGGAAAAACAAGTCGGCATTGTTTGTGTGGGAAATTCTTAGCATTTGAAAATATTCCCAGAGTCTTCCTTGACCAAATGCAATCTTAGCAGTTCAATAAACGCATGAAATTAGAAGCGTTTGGCAGAAAAGGCGGTATATTTCCAAGTGAATGGGGGATTCTCATTTTCTAATTGGTTCATCAGAAGTTTTAGCCAGAGTGACGTACAAAACCCTGAGAATCACAGATAAGACAGGTGTTAAGACACATTTGTGTTCTAACTTAGGATTTATTCATTCATTTATCAAGCATTTATCGCGGGCCACTCTGGACAGGCACTGTCCTTGTCACTGGGGGTATGGCAGTGAGGAGGGCAGACAAGTCCCTGCTCTCATGGACCATCTGTTGCAGGAGAGAGACAAGACGGAGGTGAACAGATGAGGCGATCCCAGCTGACGACGAGTCCTGTGAGGCTGATGTCACAGTGTCGGGGTTGCCGGATTAGATAAGGCCGTCACGTTCAACACTTCAGGACAAGCTTTTTGGAAAGTTTATGTTAATGAATGGAAAAATTTTTTCAGTTGAGAAATGAGTCTTTTTTGTTTTTAATAAGGTGTTTTTCTTTATTTTTTATTTCAGCATATTATGGGGGTACAGATGTTTAGGTTACGTATGTTGCCCTTGCCCACCCCCCAATTCTGAGTTTCAAGTGTGTCCATTCCTCGGATGGTGCGCATTGCACTCTTTGTGTATGCAAATACCCGTCCCCTCCTCCCCTCTCCCCCCTGCCTGACACCCAATAAATGTTATTCTTGTATGTGCACTTAGGTGTTGATCAGTGGAACCAACTTGCTGGTGAGTACATGTGGTGCTTGTTTTTCCATTCTTGGGATACTCACTTAGAATGGGCTCCAGCTCCATCCAGGGGTATACAAGAGGTGCTGTATCACCATTGTTTCTTAAAGCTGAATAGTACTCCATGGTGTACATGTACCACATTTTATTAATCCACTCACGTATTGATGGGCACTTGGGTTGTATCTAATACATAAGGAAGGAAAAGCACAAGATCGCCTCGCCAGCCAGGACATCCTTGAGCCCTTGACTGGGGCAAACGGCGCCGGCTCCGCATGGCTGAGGCGGGGTCGCGGCCTCGTGTCTCACAAATGTCCCTCTGGCAGGGAAGGGAAGGTGCGAGCCTAACGCAGCTTCAGCCCTCGGGTCGGTCTCGGCCTTTAAACAAGATGTGAGTTCCCCCTTGCGCCGCATCAGGCTACGTAGCGAGTGAGCACAGTGATACAGTGCCACCCAAGTTACCTGGAGTTCTCGGGATACGGAACATTCTGGATCACAGACATTTCTGTTTGAGAACCAGTACTCAGTCCTGCCTCATAATGTGTGTGGGAACAACACTCTGATCCCTGTTTTGTTACTGTTCCTTATCACGGCCTGTGTGAGACGTCCTGGGTCGGGGGAGACCACCCGCACCCTGCCAGTCGCTGCAGCAGACACGCCGCCCCGACGGCCGGTCCTGCTCTTCTCCGTCCGGCCTCGGGCTGCGTCGTACCTTGCACGCTGGCCCTGTCCCCTCCGCCAGCGACCCGTGCAGGGTTAGGCAGGTGACGCAATTCTGGCCAATGAAACCCGAGTTGATGGCTCACACGGGGCCCCTGGGGGAAGGTTTCCTGCTCGATCAGAGACAGACCGCGGCGAAGCTGCCGTCGGGGAAGCTGAGAAGCTGCCGTCTGAGGGCCCGATGCTGCCTTTCTCGGACCTTGAAGAAGCACCGTCGGCACACGGGGAACGTCGCAAATACTGAGCTGCTGAATCACCCTGCAGCCGTCTGACTTCGGCCTTCGCAGGATGCGAGAAAAAAATAAAGGCCCATTCGTTTAACCGACGCGTAATCAGGGATTCTGATTTTGCATCAACAGCGTCCTCAACGACACAGCAGCGACAGGTGCGGGCTGGAAGTCAGCCACCCTTGTGAGGGCGCAAATCCTCGGAGGGAGAAAGATGCTCACACGGAGATTAAGACGCATAAAAGTAAAAACGTTTGTCCTCCCAGAAGGACAGAAGGAGCGCGACAGGGGCGGGGCAGGGGAGCGGACGGGTGGCCGCCCGAGGACGTCGCTCTGCCCTGCGCTTCCCCGCGAGGTCCCTCTGTCCCCTCGTTGGCTACCTGTGGTCTTGACGCCGCGCCCTCCCCTGCGCGGTTCCTGGGACGCCCCTCGGTGCCTTCGGGCCGTCGGCGCTCGGGGTCACCGGGTCCCCGGAAACCGCGGGAGTGGTCACGGGCGCCGGGTGGACCGTGGCGGCCTCCGGCTTTGATTTATTTCGGTCCAGGAGAAGCCCCGTGGGAGCGGGCGCTCGGCAGGGCGGCCTGGAGGGGCGCCGCCCACCGCTCTTGCCCGGGGACTCGGTCCCGTCGGGCTCCCCCGGCCCGGGCGCCCCTCTGGGGAGACGCCACGGTCACGGTCTGGGGCGGAGGTTGGGGTTTTGGTCTTCTCTGGCCCAGATCGGCGGGTTTTGTTCTGACCCAGATTTCTGGGGATGCCGGCTGTCTGATCAGAACCCCGACGGCCATCCGAGCTGGGGACGCCCTCGCCGACCCACACGGGAACATGGGACCAGCCCCCAGCACCCTTGCAACGCTCGGTCAGAATTCGGCACTCGCTGGCCGCGTCCCGAACGTCAGTGACTGCGTGGGCAACGTCCGGCGGGAACTTTGGGACGCACCGACCAGCGTCCCGAACGTTTGGTCAATTAAATGACCAGGCAATCCGGCCCGAGAGTGGATCCGTGGGTCGCTACGCCACTGCCGGACCGCCCGTCGCCGCCGGGCGGCCAAGAGCCTGCGTCCTCTCCTTCGAGCCTCGCCCGAGCCTCGCCAACTGGCCAGGCTGGCGGGTCCCTGCCCGCCCCGCCCCGCATCGTCCCGCCTCGCCCGCCGCCTCCGCTTTCCCCATGACGCTTCCCCTTCGGATTCCGCGCTCCTCCTCCCTCTTCTCCG